CAGCAACATCTTGTAAGTCGCTTTTGCTGTGTGTAAGATGCTGTTGCTTTGGTGTTCCTGTGTGTGTGTGTGTGAGTCTGCGTTTATTTCCTCGGCACCACCAACGACGGCACCAACGGTCCGGATGACCACCTGGCGCCGCTCGCGTACACGGGCGAGCTGTTCTACAACACGTACCCGCGCCTTGGAGTTGACGCGACTGGGGTTTATGTGACGACGCAGCAGGCCACGTATTCCACTGTTGACCAAGTGTGGCAGGGCAGCAATATCTTGTAAGTTCCTGCTGCTGTTGCGCTTGCTCTTGTATGGGTCTTTGAGACCGTTTTACAACACGTACCCGCGCCTTGGGGTTGACGCGAATGGGGTTTATGTGACGACGCAGCAGGCGACGTACTCGACGGTTGATCAAGTCTGGCAGGGCAGCAACATCTTGTAAGTCTGCTGTGTCATTGCCTCGGGCGTTCCTGTTGCTGAGAATGCGTGTGTGTGGGCGTTCGTGAGTTGCTATTGCTGTCTCTCGCGTCGCTCGCGTACACGGGCGAGCTGTTTTACAACACGTACCCGCGGCTTGGCGTTGATGCGAATGGCGTGTATGTGACGACGCAGCAGGCGACTTATTTCACTGTGGACCAAGCTGGCAGGGCAGCAACATCTTGTAAGTTGACTCTCTTCTTGCTTTTGCTGTACTTAAGTGCCCTTTCGTTTTTCCCTTCTCCCCAACAGTGCATTCAGCAAGGCCGCTCTCCTGAAGCAAGCAGACACCACAGCCGTGCGATTCGCCCTCCCGCGCATGTCCCGCACCGACGACACCGTGCTGCAGTACTGGACCATCGAGCCCCACTCACCCCCCCACTCCCCTTCCCTTTCTCTTCCCCTCCCCCCTCCTCCCCCCTCGTCTTCTCACCCCCAACAGTGCATTCAGCAAGGCGGCTCTTCTCAAGCAAGCCGACACCACAGCCGTCCGCTTCGCCCTCCCCCGCATGTCCCGCACCGACGACACCGTCCTGCAGTACTGGACCATCGAGCCCCACTCAACCCCACTCCTTCCCTTTCTCTCCCCTTCTCTCCTTCCATTCCCCACCCTTTCCCCTCTCTCTTCTCCTCTCTCTTCCCCTCTCCTCTTCCCCCCGCGTCTCCCCCCCCCTCCTCCCCTCCCCCCAACAGTGCTTTCAGCAAGGCCGCCCTCCTGAAGCAAGCCGACACCACAGCCGTGCGATTCGCCCTCCCCCGCATGTCCCGCACCGACGACACCGTGCTGCAGTACTGGACCATCGAGCCCGCCGCCTCCCCCGCCGACGGCAAATACGACCTCACCAACAAGGGCACCATGTGGTTCGGAGCCTACGACGTCTCCTGGGCCATGTCAGGCCACTCAGCCGTCTTCGCATTCGCTCTCACCAACACCGTCTCTCTCTCCGCCAACAACCCGAGCCTCACTCTCCTCACCGCCATCGCCAACTGCTCGTTCTACTACGACTGGTCCACCTCTCAGCAGAAACCCGGTCTCGCACCGCTTGCCGACTCCTACGGGAAGGATACTCCACTCATTGTCCCTCCCAGGAGCACATCAGTGGCGCTGTCTACCGGGTTTCTGTGGATGGTTGTGCCGACGGGAACGACGGTGTCGCCGAGTTCAGAGGCGGGGTTCATGCTGGTGAAGATGAAGGCCACGGTGGACAAGGCTGCTCCCGCGCTGAATTTAGCGGTCGCGAGTGCGATGATCTACAACGTGCCCATGACCAACCTCATCGCTCCCACCATCGCCTTCAACAAGTGAGTCGCCTGTGTCTGGCGTTCTGATGCGTTTGAGTCGCATGCGTTGAGTCTCATGTCTCATGCACTGTAGTGAGGTACCTCTAGTTGTCCCGACCGGTACGACGGTGTCGCCGAGTTCAGAGGCGGGGTTCATGCTGGTGAAGATGAACAATGCTGCTCCCGCGCTGAATCTCGCGGTGGCGAGCGCTATGATCTACAACGTGCCCATGACCAACCTTATTGCGCCCACCATCGCCTTCAACAAGTGAGTCGTGTTTGATGATATGGGCTGCATGCACTGCGGAGGAATCTCCAAGACTTTGGTGAGCCGAGTTGCATGCGTTGCGCTGCAATCCCTTGACCGTGCTTTCTTCGCCGCCTGTCTCTTCACCCCGGCCAGGCTAGGCAAGGGCATCGTACTGGCGACGCTCGTGAGCCCCAACAACTACCCCACGGTGGGCTTTGTGCGCGTCACCAAGGCGGGAGTCAGCCCCAAGGACCTCAAGTTCTACACCGTTGTGCAGAGCTCTGCACCGCTTGACGTTGACTCACCAAGTGAGTTTCCAGTCTGCTTTATTAAGGGGTTTCATGATCTGTCTGTTGATACAACTGCCACACTCTCTACAGTCTGTACCCTCCACACTCTCCACAATCTCTCTTTCACACATTTCTGTTCTTCCTCATCCTACTTTTCCTATTCCCCACACGCCAGGCTACTCAGCAAAGAGCACGGACACGGCGGCGTTCGCCCGCTACGGCACGACACAGGCGCCCGCACGCAAGGATCCAGGGTTTCTTCCTTCCACTCATTTCCGTTTACACTTGTCTTGTTCCTGTCCCCTTCCCCGCACGCCAGGCTACTCGGCAAAGAGCACGGACACAGTGGCGTTTGTCCGTTACGGGACGACGCAGGCGTTGGCAGTGGATGCCACGGGCACCATCTGGGCGGCAGGGCAGTACGCTACTGAGGATCGCACCACCCGCAACAACTGGGCCACCAGCCTCTTCTCTGTCACCCCTTAAAACGAATTCTCCATACTTACATTTCTCCCAAGTGACTGGTTGGGAGGAGAGATTTGGTTATCTGGTTGTAGTGTCTGATTTTACTTGGGGGGTGGTATTTGGAAGGCCGATGCGGCGGTGAGGGTGGATTTGAGGTGGATGTGGGCTGGGGTGGGAAGCTATCTGTTGTTTTGTGAAGGTGTGCTGTGCTTGCATGCGTTAGGTGGGGTGGATCTGCCTCTCCTGTGCATAGCTTATTGTATTCTGGAAGACTATTTCCCTTCAAGGGGTTGTAATGTAGAAACCAGTGTGAAATATCCATTTTTTTGTGTAACTAAATTGGTGATATCCATGCGTCTGACATTCGGTTATGGGGTCGTGCATAAACTAGATAAAGCTCAACCATACAAAGATGAGTGGACCCTTTCTTGAAATGCCACAAAGAGGAGGTGCGTTAGGAGTGTCCCACATAAGTGCCTTGTCAAGACCTGTTAGACGGCAGGTATGTAGGAATGTAGATCCATATAACTGTAATTGGATATGGTTTTTCATATATCGGGATTCCAATTTGCCTGGTACAATCCCAAACGAGCATGTTCCAACCGTTCGCAAGATTGCCCCAAACTCCCAGCCCCTGACCGAAATGGCCACTGTTGTTTCTGTGTGGGCCAAGAGGGCCTTGGCACCCTGGCCCCACGTGGATCCATGAGACTCCAGGCTGGCTGGGTTTGAGTGTTGGGAGTGGCAGTCATTTCGCTCAAGACGAGAGCAGCAACAAACGCGTCTTGCTGTTGCCGACAACTTCGCCATACGGGCTCCCTCCAAAACCACCACTCCCGCGCGACAACTTTCGCCACCGCCCAACTGCTTGCGAAAGTTTCCCCTATCGTTCGTACGTGTAACTCAAATTTATCTCCCGCTGGCCTGAAACCAGCTGTCGCCAACGTTTTCCACGGGGAGCCAACAACGGCCAACGTATCTAGAAATTTTGGTAGCGGGGACAATCCATGCCTCTCCAGAATCGACCCCGTAAAACTCGAGACAGTGAACGAAATGCCAACTTAGATCAGGAAAACAGCCTTTATATCAGCACCACGAATTCTCTGAGAGCGATTTGGGGGGGGTGTGGGAGAGGGGACGGGGTGATTCTTGAAAGTATTGTTTCACTCTGGAAAATAAGCGAAGACCTGTTTTGTGGCTTTTGGGACTACAGGTGCGGCCCAGAGCGAGGGCGTTCTAGGGCTAATGAGGGGTCGCAGGAACCCAGTGGCCCCTCGAAACCCTTCGGGGGGGCCCGGGGTGCGTGAAGAAGACCTCGTCGCATGGGGCTGGCTTGCTGGAATTACTCTGTCAGGATGTGTCTAGTATAGAGAATACCCTCGTTTCAGTCAAAGCAAGCTGGCTGCCCTGAACACAACTGCTCGGGGTACGATGTTCGCTCAGTGTTCGTGGCACAGTAACAGTGTTCGTGAGGGTTACTATGGGCGAACATGCGAGGAACGCATGGAGTGGTGGGGGTTGGTGAAGTGAAGGTGCAGCAGCCTAGAAAAGGGCAACCCGCACTAGTGGGCGTTTGAACATTCGTTTCGCTAAAAGCCCGACTCAACCAATCTGAGAGCTAATTTAAACGCTACAGAACGTAAAGAACCTCACCAGACCGGATTCGAAGCACCAGGCGGCGCGTCATACCCCTCCATCCATCCCCTCCCTCTCCCATCTAACCTGCTAAAATTCCAATCGCCGATTGTCTTGTTTTGAGTTGGAGAGCAGCCTCGCAAAAATCAGCAATGAGAACAAAAAACGAGGTGAACCACAACGCCTGAGGTGACCACACGCTCGACGCCTCAAGTTTCCCAATATGTTCCCTGTCGACTTGATTTTCTGAGAGAAGAGGGAAAGATTGCGTAGGAATTTCCTGAATGCTAGGCAAGCGTTGCCTTGGAACGGTAGTCTGTCGGCGTCTACGACTGCTCAGTCTCTGCTGCTCTCAGTTTATTATTCTCCGAAATAGGGCCTCGACTGAACAGGCATGCTGTATTTACATCCGTGCAGTGCAAGAGACGCAAGAAATTCTCAAGCAGTAGGAACATCGTCAATATCGGCGATAGCTTCAGAACTAGACGGCTTGGAGTGACCCGTTAAGCGTCAAGACGGCGACGGCTATCGCGTACAGGATGGGGTCGGCGGACGCATGGTTGGAGTCGCCGGTGGGTCCAGGCGATATCGTGTCGCGCAGCCATTGGATGCCGAACGGAGCCATCAAGCAATGCACCAACCCCGCTTGCAACCGCGAGTTCAGCCGGAAAGAGCGAAAGTAGGTCGTAAGTTGTAGGCAATAATCGCGATCGAGGTGCCCATGAGTGATCGCTGTCGTGATTTATTTCCGCTGAAAATTCTCTGAATTCCTTGTGTCGTCAATCTTGCGTCTCGTTCGTTCCTGAATAAAAGCCCGTCAACCCAATTTCCCTCCTTTGTTCCTTCAGGCACCACTGCAGGTGCTGCGGGAACGTTTACTGCTTTGATTGCACCCAGTGTACCCTGCCGCTCAACCCTATCACCGCCATGGTATGTCACGAATCGGGTTTCCCTGGCGATTTGCGAGTGATCACCTTTTTCATTTTGTGAGAGCTACCCGCGCTGAACTCATCCGTCTAATGGGTTTTAGCCTTCTCGATTTTCCCGTTTTCGTGCAGATCGAGGAAGGAGGAGAGCCATCGAAAGCCTGCGTTTTGTGCTTCGAGGTAACCCCCGTAATCCTATCTTAGCTCGTTGAACAGTCTCCTTGTTTCGTCCCCTTTCTTGCCCTCTCCCGCTTGTTTACAAGCGACACTTCGTTTACAAACTTCCTCGTCTCACGGCAACTGCTTCATTTCCTGCGAGTCGCAGAGAGCCGTCGAAGAGGGTTACCCGTTGGGTCGCTTTCTTCACAACGGCTCCTCCAACTCGTTGGTTTCTGAAGCTGATGGCGACGGCGACGGCGACTGCGACGGCGACGGCGATGGCGACGAGGATGACGACGACAACAGCTGTCGACATCATAGTGACGATAACGATGACAACGAAGACAGCTATACTCGTTATAATAATAATGACGATTATGACGGTGCGGTTTCCGACGCGGATACGGCAGAAGCGGCGAAAATCGAGTCGTATAGACGTCAGGAGGCGATGGCAACTCGTGCGACTCGCAGCTTCGGCAATCCCGGGGGCGCGGGCGTCAGCAGGGCGCGAAACGACCACCTGGGCGACGGCGGCAGCGGTCGCAGCTGGAGTGGCGAAAACTGGCGAAACAGCAGCGACATGGACGTGCTCGAAAGCAGCAGAAACGGCGGTAACAGGAATTACGGAAGTAGCAGAGAGCAGCAGGCACAGCAGACACGGGATGTCAGCCCGAACGACAACATGGGGAATCGACCGGGAGCCATGGTTTTTGACAAATGCAGGAGCTTGGATCACAGAGATAAGGCGGCCGCGCGAGCCTACACGCGATTTTCGGTCAAAAGCGAGCGGGACAGCAGCGGCGGCGGCAGAAGCAGCCAAGATCTCTCTCCACGCGGCGGCATGGACAGTGCTCTTAGTGCTCATAGCGTTAACATCACGTACAACAGAAGCAGGACCCTAGATGCTAGCGATAAAGCAACCGCCAGACGACCCCCTCCCAGCAGCAGACCGATTTTTGAGGCGACTCAAAAGCTGGAGAGAAGCTTCAGCAGCGCCGATCCGTCGTCTCCTTTAAATATCACGTACAACAGGAGTAGAACCCTAGACGCCAGCGATAGGTCAGCCGCTGCCGCTAGGCGACCCCCTTCCAATAGCAGACCGATTAGTCTATTAGCTAGTAGTTTACTGGCAAATAGTGTGAATAGTTCACATAGTTCTCTCTGTGCTAGTAGCGGTGGTGATAGTGCCGCTAGGAGCTGGAACGAGGCTGCAGGCGGTAGTAGGGGATTCGGTGCCGAGTTTGGAAAGAGCAAGACTCTTGACAGCAGCGACAAGGACGCTATAAGGCGTATGTACGGTAATGTTGGCGCTGCTAACAGGGCTCCTGGTGCTACTGGTGCTACCGGTGCTACTGCAGCCGCTGCCTCTGGTGCATCAGTGCCGCCGACAGGCAAGGCGCGCAGGCGGGTGACGTCAGCCTATCGGCACCTGTCCATGGATCTAACGGACAGATATGGCGACCTCTCGTCACTGCTGGTAGAGCCGTCCGATCCCAGCCATCTGTCGCTTCTCTCCAGCTGCTGCTGCTGCTGCTGCTTCTGGTGCTGCTGTTTCTGGTGCTTCAGGTACACGGTCAGGACTGGGTCTACCGCCCCGCAAGGACCCCAAGCCCCGCGGGTGGCAGCAGCAAGAGCAACAGAGACCACCACAACAATCATCTGCATCGTCATCAGAAGCAGCAGGTGCCACATCAGCAGGTGGCACAGCAACAGCACTGCAGCGACACCATTCCATGCACCCCCTGCTAGCCCCAGGCGGATCCCCCCTCACTCCCTCAGGTCTCCGCCCGCCTCCACCTCTCACTCCCTCCCCCGCTCGAAGCAGACACAGCCGCTCCAACAGCAGCAGCAATATCAACATCTCCATCTCCCTACCGCCCTTGACCGCTCCTGACTCTTCCCAACGCCCTGCGGCTGACTCTGCTGCCGTCTGTGCTGTCCCCCTTAGGTCGTCCCGCTCTTTTCATAAACAGCTAGCAGACGCAGCAGCTGCAGAGGCAGGGGCAGATGCACAAATGACGGCTGCAGAAGCAGAAGCAGCTGCTGCTGCTGCCGCAGCAGCGGAAAGGGCAGAGGCAGCAGCAGCGACAGCAGCTGCAGCAGCGCAAAGGGAGGCTCTATACAAGGCGTTAGCAGCACCGTCCGCGTTGAAATCGCCATCTAGCCATGCACGCAGCGCAAGGAAAGGGAGTGTGGATCTGACTGAATTGTTAGCTTCGTGGGAAAGTGGGGTCAGCTTTCTGGACCCAGATGTATCCCTCTGCACCCCTCGGGACCGCAAGACCATCTCCTCACCAAAGCTCTCTTCAAACGAGCCAACTTCTGATGATGAACGGGAAAGTGAGGTTGGCTTTGGAAGAAACACCGAACCTGTTGCCAAGGCTGGAGGTTTGGCAGGTCCGGGCCTGAAGCCTGCTCGCCTGCAGCGGGCTGCCGAGGCTGATGTTGAGGGATGGAAGGAGGCTCGGCAGAGCGTGAGAGGCACAGCAGGTGATGGTGAAAGGCGAATGGGTGGTGGGGAGGTAGCAGAGAAGGATGCGGTGCAGAGCGGTGGCAGCGCAAGTGGCAGGGGCAGTGGCAGGGGCAGTGGCAGGGGAAGTGGGAGCAACTTTGGCAGTGGTGGCAGTGGTGTCAGTGGCAGTGACAAGAGCAAATGGGCGAGGAGAAGGCCAAACCTCCGGGTTCACTGTGGCAGCAGTGGCAGTGGCAACTTCGCTTCTTCTCTCCCTCATTCCGCCTCCGCCTCCGATGCTCCACCACCGCTTCCCCACCTTGCTCCAGCTGCCCCCTTCCCTCAGCCTGCTGCCGGCTCTGCCCCTGCTGCTGCCACTCGTGACCTGGGTGCTTGTGCCTCTGCTGCTGGTGCTGCTGGTAACCGTGTTACTGCTGCTTCTCGTGCTGCTGCTGGTGGTGGTAATGGTGGTGGTGCTGGCGCCAGTGCTAGTGCTGGGAGGTCGCAGGAGTGCAGTGCGGTGTGGAGCGGTCCGGTCAGTCTGATAGAGTGGAGCACGAGTGACGTGTGCTCGTGGCTCATCCACTCTGTTGGCTTCCCAGATGGCAGTGGGCAAGGTGAGGCGAAACCCTAAATACATACATGCACGCCTGCATGCATGCACAGACCCACCCTGTCTGAACGAGTGAAGCCGCAGTGGCATAGGTTCTTGAGAATTCTCAAAAACCAGTTCGTGACCTTCTCAAAAACCAATCTACAAATGACTGTTCTTGTCCTTCTCTCTGCCTGACCACCCCCTCTCCTTTTTCCTCCTCTCCCACAGACTCCGCGCGGGACTTTGACCAGCATCAGGTGGACGGTCTCTCGCTCGTTGGCATCATACACGCCCTTGTCAGCCTCATACACTCTTTTCTTCACCTTTTTCCTCCCTCCTCTCCCACAGAGTACGCAAGGGACTTTGATCAGCATCAGGTGGACGGTCTCTCGCTCGTTGGCATCACCAACTCCCACCCGGCCCTTGCTCGCATGCGATTGGCCGATTACACCCTCTTCGAATCCCACCGTCGCCAACTGGTTACCGCAGAAGCTGCTGCTCCCCCCGCCCCGCAGCACCCACCTGCACCGCTCCCAACCGTGGACTTCTCCTCTGCATCTACCACATCTACCGCAGCTGCTTCTGTTGGCAGTGCGGTGCTGTGCGGTGGTGCCGCGAGCAGGGTTGGAGTGGGTGCGGTGCGGTGCGGTTCCGACCCCACTGTTCTCCTGCATCACTTACCCAAGCAACACTCAGTTAAAAGCCGGCATTATGACGCCTCTTCTGCTGCCAACACCCCTTCAGCACTTAGCTGTAGATCCTCCCAGCCCTCCCATTCCCCCTGGTCCTCTCCCTCTTCTACCTTTATCCAACGCACCTCCAGTGGCAGTAGCTTCTGCTCCCTCCCTCCCCTCTCCTCCGCCTCTCTCAACTCTTCCTCCCACCCGTCACATTTCCCCCACTCCACCAGCCATCCCTTTCGCCACCGTCGCACCAGCAGCATTGGCGCCTCTATCGTATCTGATCTTCTCCAGAAAAGGACAAACACCACCGGTGGGGCGGGGGACGTCCGGCCGGCAGCGGTGCAATCTCCTGCCGCCCGGATTACCAGGCAGGAGAGCGGGGTGGTCGGGGCTGTGGGCGGGTGGTTTGCCAGTTGGGGGAGCAAGCAGGAGAGGCAGCAGGAGTCTGAGGAAGAAAGGGAGAAGGCACGGGCTCTGGAAGAGAAGGAAGAGCGGAGAAGGCAGAGCAAGGGAGAGGTGGAGGGAGAGGAGGAGGAGGAGGAAGAGGGTGAGGAGGGAGATGAGGAGGGGGAGGTGGTGGCGGCGGTGGTGGAGGAGGTGGTGTGTCTGCGAGGGGAGGTGACAGCAGCAGAGGAGAGGGAGTGCACCGTCAAAGCACAGTGAGTCGCCTGCTGCTGCCACTGCCACCGCCGCTGTCGCCGCTGCTGCTGTGTCTGTTTGCTGCACTGCCTGCCTCTCACGAATATTCCACTTGCCTCCACCCCTTTATACTCACGTTTCCCTTGGTCACCTATCTTGTGTCATCTGGAGTCTCTGCTCGTGGAGTATCTGCCAACTCACTCACTTGCCTGTAAACCCCCTTTCCCTTGCTCACTCTTTCCCCCTCCGCGTTTCAGGCTGTGTCATTTGGACGACCTTCTCAAGGAGTCTCTGCTCGTGGAGTATCTGCCAACCAGAACGGTAAGCACCAGGCAGGCATAGATTCCTTTATTTTTCTCCCTATTTCTCCACTTCCACATACTCTCCTGCACCCGCAAATTTCCATCAACCCTCCACTCCCTCCCCTTCCTCCCTCCCCCTTTCACACTTTCCCCCTTCCCTGTTTTTTCCCCTCCCCCTTTGCTTCTTTTCTTCCCAGAAATGGGCGTCCACACCAAACGACCCACCTGCTCAGAGCAACAACACCACCACAACTGAGGAGGACGAGTGGGTGCCGCGCTTTGTGACGCTCACACCCACCGACATCGCATGCTACCTGCACGCCACCGACCTGCACCCGCAGATCACCCTCCCTGTCGCCTCCATCGCCTCTGCTGGCACGCTCCACATGGCCCCTGCACCTCCGGCTGTAGCACCAGCTGTAGCAAAGGATGCATCATCGGCTGTAGCTACATCTGTAGCGGCGGCTGTAGCACTGTCATCATCGTCATCATCATCGGAGGAGTGGTTTGCGTTCCATGTGACGACCAGCTACGGGTTCAAGCTGGAGTGCGCCACTCGCAGCTGTGCCAAGGTGAGGACTGAGGGCTTGCTGGTGTGGAAGTCAATGAAAGTCAACGTAAGTCAAGCTCGAGTGTGGATGGACTCATAGCTCTCTGCTTGATCCATGCCATGCACACTCCAGCATCACCCCTCTTGCTGCCTGTGTGTTCTCTCATCTCACCTCAGGCCCTTCTTTTCATGCCGTGCCCCCTCCCCCATTGCAATGGTGCAGCTCCAGCTGTGGCTGGCGACTGTGCATGAGGCAATTGCCAATGCTGGTATCAACTCTACTACTGTCAGCAGCACCATCCCGCTCCCTCCCCCCAACCTCACCTGCTCTTGATTCAGAGGCACTACTGGTTGGCTGACATGAGTCTGCACAGCAGCAGTTACACGGTTGCCACATCTCCCTTCACCATGCTGCACCGCGCTGTACCACACCACGCGCACAGACGTGCGTAACACCCCATGGTATATAGAAGCCAACTGGCATGTATTCGTAGGTGGCTGGGACTGGGAGTCCAGGACATTAGCTTCCATCTGCCTTCTGCATGTTCAGTCGAGTGTAAGACCACAATCATGCAAATAAGGGTCTTATGGAAGCCCATGTGGTTTGGTAGAATATAAACACGAATCTTTATGAAGTTCAGTTTTGATAGTGTCCTGTTTTGGAATGTGCTTTTTAATATTGTGGGCGCTGGCCTTGTTCAAGCGATTAGCCACAATTCGGTATATCGGTTCGTTACTTTAGAACATATCAACTGTAGTTGACATAAACTGCGTTTCTTTATGTCAGTGGATCCCGCAGGCCCTGGTGGCCAAGGTTGGTCAAGGTTCTCGCGACAGTGTGTTGCGGCCAGCCAATCACAGCTAAGAGCAAGATTGTATGGCCATTGGTGCAAGAAGAGGCTCCACCACACCGCACCACGTATCAACGGCATTTCACCCTACCCCAACTCACCTCACCCCACCCCACCCATCACGATGACTCACTAGATACATATCGATGCCAGCCCGTTCTGCACACCAGCCTCTTCTTGGCACATCCCCTCCACTGAACTCCCATTTCGAAGTTCATTTTCCGATTTCTCCGTGTTCGTTGGCGGGAGATGCGTTGTGAGAAGTTGTAGCCTTTCGCACAACGGCGAGCTTCTGAAGAGAGAGGAATTCGACGACTCAGTACACATGTTAGAACCGGGAAAGACAGACCCCTCTCTCCCTATAGTGACCATTCCTCCCTCCCGCTTGGACACGTGCAGCGCGAGTCCTGCTCTGCTTGTCCTGCTCTGCTTGGGTGACATGTCCTGCTCTGCTTCTCATGTTCATCATGATGTTATGTCGCGCGAGTCGGGACGGCGGCGATTCGTCCAAGGTTATCACCGAACTGCTCTAAGGAGCTTCCAGACTAGCGATAATAGAGCTCTGGGAGTGCCACTGAAACTTCGCGACATCATTTCGTCACGGATCTTTGCCACGTTTGCCAACGCATATTCGCGAAAACGTCACTGACAGTCCACGCCAGTTTCGCTTCGCTTCCAGTCCAGTCAGGTCAGAGGTCGCGCTGACTTCGTTCGCCCTTAGGAAAGCTTTCGGTTTGGCCTCCCCTATTCCTTCGGACTCAAAATAAACGCTTTAATCAACCTTCCGACTTCACCATTATCGTTGGCGTAAGATGCGTTGGGAGAAGCGCTAAGGTGAGTTTCTGGACTGAGAGGAATCTGACGACGCACTACCTGGAACCCGGAAAGTCAGACACCTTCCATCATGGTCGGCCGTGCTTGTGCGTGTGCTGCTAGAGTGACATGCCCTGCTAGAGTGACTTGCGCTTCCCTGTCACCATGTGAAAGACTTGCACGCGACTCGGAGTCAGCACGGCATTGACCCGTCCAAGATTATCACCCAACTGCTCTAAAGAACTTGGATGTTCTTGATGAGAGCCCCACCAGCGCGCATAAGTAGCAACGAACTCGGCTGTTCTTGATCATCGCGTTATCTAGTCCCACATCTTTGCTCGCTTCTGAAACCTGCCTCTGCCAGCACTGTAATTATTAGCGGCTCGTCTCTCGGTCATCTCTTACCATGGAGCGGACTGTGCTTTGCTGGGTCCTAATACGTGAGCGCCGCCATTGACGCCCTTTCGCAAGTGTATCCACGGCTCTGCCGCCTTCAGATTAATGCTCGTGTTGAGTGCTGTTCGTGCCTTGTGCAGTTGTAACGCTCTTGTTGGGTGCTGTTCATGCCTTGTGCAGTCGTGACGGTCGTCACGGTGGGTGCAGAGTCTGCAACGTCATCATCGCTCCCAACGACTCCCCCAGTGCCCCCTCCAGCATCCCTCGCAGCCTTCTTCGCTGGCGGGAAACTGCCTGTCACTTCCTCCCCTCACGCCACTGCGTTGGTGAAGGGAAAGGTGTTTTGTGAGTTCCTTCTTCAGCCTAATGTCTGTCATTGTGAAGGGAAAGGTTTTCTGTAAGTGCTTCCTTCAGCTTGTTCTTGGTTCAGAATTCTCGGAAACATATTATTAATCTTATGAAAGTTCTGTCAGCTTCCAGCAAGGTTTGTTACTGTTACTACTCCATCAGTTACCTATGGTCGTGCTGTCTTTTACAAACGGAAAGTCTGGTTCACGTACACCTATTAACTCCTTTGGACCAATCATTCAAGGACAAAAAAGGGAAACTACTGGGACTATTCGTTTCATTGACCCTTCTCTCTTGTGCCTGCCATGCCTTCCCTTTCCAGTGCGCCATGTGGCCAGGCTAACTCCCACTCGTAGCCACGGAAAAGTGGTTGGCGACCGAGGAGCAACCGGAAGAATAGTCATGAAGGGAGTTAAGTAAGTTGGCTACTTCTTAACCATAGTAGTTGGCTTTGGTGCAGCCATGCAAATTCTGGCAGTTATTGCCATCGACGTGATTGGTAATATCTTGGACGGTTCAGCTTAACGCAGGAAAATCAGGTTGCTACCTATGCTTAAACACTTCTTAAAGTGTGAACGTGTCTTCTTCTCCCGGTCTTGCACAAATATTGTGTGGGGGGCCACATGAATCAACACGTGGTGCTGGTGCTCCTGTCCTCCCTGTCCCTCCTATCCTCCCTTGCTTCGGTGACAGGGCCTCTGCAGGTGCCTGCTACCTCGTGGTCAAGATGCGAGTCAACAACATCCATTCTGGAGGGGCTGCGCCCTTCATAAACGCTGTTTCGGATTGCCTCGCTGGCATGTTTGAGGAAGGATATGAAGGCATTGGTTGGGAGAACATCACGCGTACCAGCGGTGGTCAGCCCAATCGTTACAGCTTCGCTATTTCATCGGTTATGGGCCCTGGATCGCAGGCCGATATTCGGGCAGCCATTGTTCCCTATACTCATAAATCATCAGGCACCCATGTGGTTGCATCTCATCCGGAAAATGACTATGCACTTTGCGGGAAGTTGAAGAAGCGACCTGTATGGTCATGACCATTTCAAGTTCATGTGCGAGACTGCGTGCAAGCATTGTAATTGCCGCTCCAACATGGGACCTGGGGGCTGGGGTGTCGCTCATTGTGTTAGACTAGCATGCACCACGGTTTGTACTTTTCGGGTTTTGACCTTCGTGTGCATAGCCTACCCGTGCTTTATATGCAGACTGTGTTTCATTTTGCCCCTAGCATTTTGATTGAGCATTGATCCATAGATGGTGAATTTGTGATCAAGTATCCGTCTTGTGTTTCATGAATATATTGAATGGGGGGATTTTTATTTGTGAAAGCATAAGCATAAGCACTTCATTCAGTAGAGCCTACAGTTCGAACCTCTATTGCTGAGTTCCTGACTAAAACACTCATTTGAACCTTGACAGGTTGTTGGCAATATTGGAGCGAGAATCCAGATGGGAGGGGACCAGCGTGGCGAGGGGACGAATTTCGCCAGTCGCAAATGTGTGCCACGGATTCAAGACTAGCCAATCACAGCTAACAGCAAGATTGTTCTTGGCAATTGATGCAAGAGGCTCGCGTCACGAGGACACAACACAGCCCTCGTACTGTACACCACCACTATCGCACCATCCACTCCACTCCACTCCACTCCACTCCACTCCACCCTAAACCACTCTACTTCCACTCCACCCCACTCCCCTCCCTTCTCGAAGTTCAATTCCGAATCCCCCGTGTTCGTAGGCGGGAAATGCGTTGTTACTATCCTTCACAGATAGGAATCCGATGGCTCAGCACAGCGCACGTGTCAGAACCCCGAAAGGCAGAAAAACATTTCCCTGTCGTGACCAGTCCTCCCTCCCGCGGCCCGCTTGGACATGTGCTGCGCGAATCGTCTGTGCTTGAGCACGTGCTGCTTGGGTGACATGTCCTGCCGCTGGCACCATCGTGTGAATGATTTCATGTCGCGAGTCGGGACGTCGGCGATTCGTCCAAGATTATCACCGAAGGAGCTTCCTGACTAGCGATAAGCGCTGAGAGACATTTGTGACGAGCTGTTCAGTGTGGAAGTGGTCACCGAAGCTTCGCGATATCACTGACTCAGTGCCACGTTTGCCTGGTCATCATCGCGAAAACGTCACTTACAAGTCCACGCCAGTTTCGCTTCGTTTCCAGTCGAGTCAGGTCAGAACAAAACGCCTTGCGGCTTCGCTTCCCATCATATCCCTTCCGATTCAAAATTTAAGTTCGAATCACCCTCAGCCTTCGAAGGCTTCGATTTCCCCGTTCTTGTTGGCGGAAGATGCGTTGGGAGAAACCCTCCAAAAAGCCTAAGTCTCGCACAAAGGCGATCCTTTGGACTGAGAGGAATCCGACGACTCGGAACCCGGAACCCGGAAAGTCAGAAACCTTTTCGTATGTGACCATTCCTCCCTCCCGCGGCCCGCTTGCCAAGCGGACATATGCAGAGCGAAACGTCCGTGCTTATGCATGTGCTGCTGCTAGGGTGACGTGCCGTTCGCTTGTGAAAGATTTCACGCGAGTCGCACGACCAGGACCCGTCCAAGATTATCACCCAACTGATCTAGTAGCTACGAAACTTGGCTGTTCTTGAACATCGCGTTAACTAGTCCCGCCTCTTTGCTCGCTTCTGAAACCTGCATGTTGTTTCGGCCACCATAGTACTACTGTAATATCACCGGCTCGTCTCTTTCGCATCTCTTATCATGGAGCGAACTGTGCTTTGCTGGGTACTAATACGTGAGCGCCGCCATTGTCGCCCTTTTCGCCGCAAGTGCATCCACGGCTTGCCGCCTTCAGATTAAAGCTAGTCTTGAGTGCTGTTTCTGCCTTGTGCAGTTGTAACGCTCATCGTGGTGCGTGCAGAGTCTGCAACGTCATCATTGCTCCCAACGACCCCCCCAGCGTCATCCCTCGCAGCCTTCCTCCCCGCCGCCGGACGGCTGCCTGTCACCTCCTCAGCTCATGCCACTCCGTTGGTGAAGGGGAAGGTGTTTAGTAAGTGCTCCCTACAGCTTGGAGTTTTTTCAGAATTCTTGGAAACTTATCAATGAGTTTATGAAAGTTCTGTCAGCTTCAAGCAACGAGGGTCCGGGCTGTGCTCTGTTTGTTACTGTTACTACTCCACCAATTGCATTTGGTTGTGCTGTCCTTCTAGAACGGAAATTCTGGCTCAGGTAGGAGTCGACACAACCACTAACCCTCTTGGACCAATCACCCAAAGACCAGAAGTAGAAACTACCTGGGTGTTCTTTCTGTTACCTTCACCTTTGTGCCTGCCCTGCCTTCCCTTTCCAGTGCGCTATGGGGCCAGGCTCACTCCCCCTCGTAGCAACAGAAAAGTGGTTGGAGACCGAGGAGCAACTGGAAGAGTAATCATGAAGGGAATAACGTGAGTTTGCTATTTCTTAACCATAGTAGTTGCCTTTGGTGCAGCCATGCAAATGCTGGCAGTTATTGCCATCGACGGCATTGGTAATGTCTTGAACGATTCACCTTAACCCAGAAATTAGGTTGCTGCTTATGCTCTTAACACTCCCAAGAGTGTGAACGTGCCTTATTCTCCTGTTCTTGCACAAATATCATGCGAAGAGCCATCATGAATATCGTGGTGCTCCTGTCCCTCCTGTTCTCCCTTGACTTGATGACAGGGCCTCTGCAAGTGACGGCTACCTTGTGCTCAAGAGTCAAGTCAAGAATATCCAGTCTGGAGGGGCTGCGCCCTGCATGACCCCTGTTTCGAATTGCCTTGCTGGCAAGTTCAAGGAAGAATGGGTAGGTGTTGGTTGGGAGAACATCACGAGAACCAGGGGTGGTCGGCCGAAGTATTACAGCTTCGCTTCGTTAATAGTTGTGGGCCCACTATCACAGGCTGATATTCGGACATTCATTCTTTCCAATACTCATCAATCATCAGGCGTCCATCAGGTTGTGTCTCATCCGAAAAATGACCATGCACTTTGCGGGAAGGTGAAGAAACGACCCTTATAAGCATGCCCATTTCAAGCTCATGTTTGATCATTGTAAGGGCATCCGCAAAAGTGTCAGCTCCAGCATGGATGGGCTAGGGTGTCGCTCATTGTGTTATCATGCGCCAAGGTTTGTACGATGTGAGTTTGACCTCCTTGTAAATAGCATGAACGTGCTTTATATGGAGATTGTGCTATTTTCATACTGGTAGTGACTACATGCAGTATATTGTCATTAGCATTTCAATTGAACAGTTATAATATGTTCACTATTGTGCGTTTATCTATGCGAGTGCCTGGTGGATTGGAGAGGGGTTGTGGGCGGGAACGAATGAGCGAAATTGCAAAATTTCGGTAGTCGCGAAAAGTGTGTTGCACATGAGCGACGAATAGCCAATCACAGTGGCGAACAATACAGTCATGGCTGAACCTGGTACACCACCCACTGCTCGGTCTCCGCTCTGCACATCCACCCCAAGCCCCATTCCGAAGTTCAATTCTCGAATCTGCCGTGTTCGTTGGCGGGAGATGCGTTGGAAGGTATAGCCTTCGCAGCAATTGAGCTTGTCTGGACAGAAAAGGAATCCGACGACTCAGTACACGTGTCAGAACCTGGAAGGGTAGAGACACCTTCCGCAGCCCTCTTGGACACGTGCAGCGTTAATCGTCCGCTTGTGCATGTGCTGCTGGCGTCATCGTCGCGTGAATGATGTCGCGAGTCGGGACGACGGCGATTCGTCCAAGATTATCGCCGAGCTGCTCCAAGGAGCTTCCAGACTAGCGTAGCGATAGTAGAGCGCGGCTGGGAGTCTTTGACGGGCTGTTATGCGCGGAAGCGGTCACCGAAATCTCGCGGAATCATTTCGTCACGGATCATCGCCACGTTTCGCGAGTCGTGAAATCGTCACTGATCATCTCCACGTTTGCCAACGCATCTTCGCGAAAACGTCACTGAGAGTCCACGCCAGTTTCGCTTCGCCTCCACTCGAGTCAGGTCAGGACGAACGCGCTGACTTCGCCCTTAGCAAAGCTTGCAGCTTGGCCTCCCCTATCCCTTCCGATTCAAGATAAGCGTTCGAATCAACCTTTCGATTTCGCTGTCCTCGTTGGCGTAAGATGCGTTGGGAGAACCGCTCAAAGGCGAGTTTCTGGGCTGAGAGGAATCCGACGACTCAGTCCCCGGAACCCGGAAAGTCAGAAACTTGTCCATATGTGACCATTCCTCCCTCCCGCGGCCCGCTTGCCAAGCGGACATATGCTGCACGAATCGTCCGTGCTGCTTGGATGACATGCCCTTCTCTTGTGAAAGATTTGACGCGAGTCGCACGACAATGACCCGCCCAAGATTAACACCCAACTCGCTCCAAGGAGCCCCACCGTGCATAAGTAGCAACAAACTCGGCTGTTCTTGAACATCGCGTTAACGCCTGGAGAGCATCTAGTCCCGCCTTTTTTCAAAGAGAAGATTGTTACGCTTCTGAAACCTGTATGTTGTTACGGCCACTGCTAGTACTTTAATATCAACCGCTCGTCTCTCTGTCCTCTCTTATCATGGAGCGAACTGTGCTTTGCTGGGTACTAATACGTGAGCGCCCGCACTGACGCCCTTTCCCAAGTGCATCCATAGCTCTGCCACCTTCTGAGTAAAGCCCGTCTTGAGTGGTGTTTGTGCCTTGTGCAGTTGTAACGCTCGTGTCGAGTGTGTTCCTTGTGCAGCTGTAACGCTCGTGTTGGGTGGTGTTTGTGCCTTGTGCAGTTGTAACGGTCGTCACTGTGGGTGCAGAGTCTGCAACGTTATCATCACTCCCAACGACCCCCCCAGCTGCACCTTCAGCGTCACCCTCAGCATCCCTCGCAGCCTTCCTCCCCGCAGGCGGACCGCTGCCTGTCACTTCCTCCGCTCTCGCCACTCCGTTGGTGAAGGGGAAGGTGTTCCGTAAGTGCCTCCTTCAGCTTGTTTTGTTTGTTTGTTTGCTTGCTTGCTTGCTTGCTTGTTTGTTTGTTTGTTTCCCCCCTGCAATTCTTGTAAACTCATCAGTGATTTTATGAAAGATCTGTCAGCTTCACCTGCTGCCTAAGGTTGTGCTGTCTTTGAAGAAGGAAAAGTCTGGTTCACATAGCAGTTCACGCACTTACTAACTCCCTTGAACCAATCCTTCAAGGACCAGAAGCGGAAACTACTTGGAATATTCTTTCAGTTATCTTTCCCTTGTGCCTGCCCTGCCTTCCCTTTCCTGTGAAATATGCGGCCAGGCTCACTCCCCCTCGTCGCCACGGAATAGTGGTTGGAGACCGAGGAGCAACTGGAAGAGTGGTCTTGAAGGGAGTCAAGTAAGTCTGCTGTTTCTTAACCATAGTTGGCTCTGGTGCATGCTAATGCTGGCAGTTACTGCCATCAGCATCTCTGATAATCTTGGCTGATTCAGCTTAATGCAGGAAAACAGGTTGTTATCTTTGCTTTAAACACTTCTAAGAGTCTAGACGTATCTTATTCTCCTGTCCTTGAACAAATATCGTGTGGAGAGCCATATGAATCAATGCGTGGTGCTCCTGTCCCTCCTATTCTCCCTTGCCTCGATGACAGGGCCTCTGCAAGTGCCAACTATGTTGTGATTAAGGTACGAGTGCACAACCTCCGGTCTGGAGGGGTTGCGCCCTACTTGAATGCCGTTGCGACTTGCCTCGCTGGCAAGTTTCAGGCAGGATATGAAGGTATCGGTTGGGAGAACATCACGAGAACCAGGGGTGGTTGGCCCAAGCGTTACAGCTTCGCTATGTCACAGGTTATGGGCCCAGGATCACAGGCCGATGTGCGGGCGTTCATTGAATCCTATACCCATCAACTTTCAGGCTTCCGTTTGGTTGCGTCTCATCCGAAAAATGACCATGCACTTTGCGGGAAGATGAAGAAGCGACCCGCATAAGTATGACCGTTTCACATTCATGTTGAAACATTTTATGGTATGGACTTCTGCAAGAAGTGATGCTCCAACTTGGTATGGGACCCAGGGGCTAGGGTGTAGCTCGTTGTTTTATCATGGACCACGGTTTGTACGATTTGAGATCAACCTTTTTGTAAATAGCATACCCATGCTTTACATGCAGATTATGTTATGTTCAAACTGGTAGAGACCACCGTAACTTTCCACTGCGCTTGGATTGAATGGGTAATATGAGCAGAAGAGGAGAGATACCGTACCAGTGAATATTGTAAAGCAAAGCTCGATGTACAAAAAAATCGTTGTGAGAATAATAGTAGAGTAGTGTTTTGTTGTTGGTGAACTTCTCACTGCCATCACGGCTTATAGTTCCAGATTAGCGATAATAAAGAGCTGGGAGTCAACTTGTGACGAGTATTTCCATACGAAATTGGTCAGCGACGCTTCGCGAAGCCCTCGCTGATATCGCCACATTTGCCAAGTCGTATTCGCGAAAACACCACCGACAAGTCATCGCCAGCTCTCTTCGCTTCGTCAGCACTGGGTGAGGAGAGGAAAACATGCTGGAATTCGCTCAGCCTTTCACGTGTCTTGTTGGCGGGAGATGCGTTGGGGAGGAACGCTCCGTAGCTTCCGCACAAAGCTGAGCTTCTGGACAGAGGAATCCGACGACTCAGTCCACGTGGCAAAACCGAGAAATCATATACCTATCCAATCTGACCATTCCTCCCTCCCGCCGCCCGCTTGGACATGTGCAGCGCGAATCGTTTCTGTTATGCCACAAGCATGTGCTACCTCGGGCTGGGACATGTCTTGCTGCTGGCACCATCGTCATGTGAAAGATTTCACGTCGCGACTCGGCATCGGCACGAGCACCGAACTGCTATGAAGACGGTCGTTCCTGAACATTGCGTAATATAGTCCTGCAGCATCTTTGCTCGCTTCTAAAACCTGCATCCGATATAATAGGGACTTATTACGGCCACTAAAACTGTAATATCAACGACTCGTCTCTCTCTCTCTCATGTCTTATCATGGCGAGAACTGTGTTTTGCTGGGTACTAATACGTGAGCACCCATGATTGACGTTCTTTACGCAAGTGCATCCACGCTCTGCCGCCTTCTGATTAAAGCTCGCCTTGGTGGTGTGTGCGCCTTGTGCAGTTGTAACGGTCGTCACGGTGGGTGCTGAGTCTGCAACGCCATCATTGCTCCCAACGACCCCCCCAGCGTCACCTTTAGCGTCCCTCGCAGCCTTCCCCCCAGGCCGCGGACCGCTGTCTGTCATCGTGAAGGGAAAGGTGTTCCGTAAGTGCGTCCGTCAGCTTCTTGTTTTTCAGAATTCTCGGAAACTCATCAATGATTTCATGAACGTTCTGTCAGCTTTCCTGCAGCTAGGTGTCGGGCTGTGCTCCGTTTGTTAACGCACTTACTCACTCTCTTGGACCATTCGTCCACAGCGGAAACTATTTGGGTGTTCTTTCAGTTACCTTTGTGCCTCCCTTGACTTCCTTTTCCAGTGCACTATGTGGCCAGGCTCACTCCCCCTCGTAGCAATGGAAAGGTGGTTGGCGACCGAGGAGCAACTGGACGAGTGGTTTTAAAGGGAGTCCAGTAAGTTCACTGTTTGTTAAGTATAGTTGGCACCAGTGCAGTGCAGCCCTGCAAATGATGTCAGAAATTGCCGTCAACGTCATTGATGATCTCTTGGTTGATTCAGCTTAACGCAGGAAAAATGTTGCTATTTATTCTTTTAAGACTTCTAGGGTTTCGGGTGAACGTGTCTTAATCTCTTGACCTTGCACAAATATCATGTGAGGAGCCACGTGGTGCCCCTGACCCTCCTATTCTCCCTTGTCTCGATGACAGGTCCTCTGCAAGTGCCAGCTACGCTTGGCTCAAGATACGTATCAACAACATCCGGTCTGGAGGGGCTAGGCCCCAGCATTCCGATGTCTCATCTTGCCTTGCTGGCAAGAATGTGGAAGGAGCTATCAGCGGTTCATGGGAGAACATCACGAGTACCAGGGGTGCTCGGCTCAAGCGGGGTGGTCGTCGGGTCAATCGTTACAGCTTCAGGCTTACAGGGTATGCGGACCCATACACACAGGCTGAGGTTCGGGCATATATTGGTGCCAATATACAAAATTATTTCAGCTCCCATATAGTTGTCTCTCATCCGAAAAATGACAATGCACTTTGCGGGAAGCTGAAGAAGCTAATCCGTAGAGGCTTGACCATTTTAAGTTCGTGGCCGAGGCAACGAGCGTTGTAAGGACATCCGCAAAAATGTAGCTCCAACCAACATGGGATTAGCGGCTAGGGTGTAGCTTATTGTATTACGGTATTACGCAGCATGACTTGTACAATTCTAGCTAGACCTTGTAAGTAGCATGTCCATGCTTTATAAGCGCGCATATTGCATTTTTCGATACCAGTAGTGACCACATACAGCATATTGTCACTAGCATTGGATTGAGCAGTGATGCATAGATTGTGATTTTGTAATTTAGCAACTGCTTTGTATATCATGTTTTCATTGATGGCGTGGATTTTTATCAGTGTAGTATGTCAGTAAATGTATGACAGTAGCAAAAGCATAATCAGTAGAGCCCACAGAGCGACCCTTGTCGCGTCGCAAATCCACCGTACGACGTCGTATGCTTCGCACACGTTTGGTTGGACGTCGTACAACGCCCAGACTTTCAGAGATTTTGGAGGAGAGTTACACGCCAGCCTGGCGAGGAGGGGGATCAGCGCGTGGAGGGGTTTCCAAGCAAGGGAGCCGCAGAGGGGTGGTGAATGGGAATCGCATGAGCGAAATGAAAGTAGCAAATTTTCGTTAGTCGCGAATTCGCAATAGCTAATCACAGTGAAGAGCAAGATCCACAACACGACCCTGCTGGGCCTTGAACTGTACACCGCCACTTCTTGGCACATCCACCCCACCCCCATATTCAATTCCCCCGTGTTCGTTGGCGGTTGATGCGCTGGGAGAAGTTCTAGGCTACGTGTCAGAACCTGGGAGGGCAGACACGACTCCATATCGTCATTGTTCCTCCCTCCCGCCGCCCGCTTGGACATGTGCTGCGCGAGTCGTCTGCTTGTGCATGTGCTTTTTGTGTCCTGCTGCTGGCTCCGTCGTGAATGATTTCATGTCTCGAGTCGGGACGACGGCGATTCGCCCAACGATTTTCACCGAACTGCGATAAGGAGCTTCCGGGCTAGCGATAATAGCGCACTGGGAGCTACAACGTCACTGTTTTGCCCAAGTTTGCCAACTCGACTTCGCAAAAACGTCACTGACAAAGCACGCCTGGCTCATGCGACTCGGCACGACGATGATGATCCACCAAGATGATCATCGAACTGCTCTAGAGATGGTTGCTGTTGAACATCGCGCTGTTCTTGGGCGACCCGTCCAAGATTATCACCGCCAGTGAAAGTCATCGACGCGGTCAACGTTCAAACATACTCCCGGAGTCTCAGCTACATCAGCACATAGTAAATAGTATGTACGGGATGGCTCACAAACGGAATGTTCAAACGAATTTTCTTCGGACAGTGCCAGTAGGGTTTAGACTCTATAATTGTCACTGCACGGACAGTGCCAGTAGTAACAACGAACTTTAGTTGTTCTTGAACATCGCGTTATCTAGTCCCGCAACTTTCCTCGCTTCTGAAACCTGCATGTTTTTACGGCCACGACTACTATTGCAATATCAACAGCTCGTCTCTCTGACATGTCTTATTATGGAACGAACTGTGTTTAGCTGGGTACTACTAACATGTGAGCGCCCATTGACGCCCAGTGGCGCCCATTGACGCCCTTTCGCAAGTGCATCCGATGAAAGGCTCTGCCGCTTTCAGATTAACGCTCTTCTTGGGTGGTGTGTGTGCTTTGTGCAGTTGTAACGGTCGTCACGGTGGGTGCAGAGTCTGCAACGGCATCATCGCTCCCAACGACTCCCCCAGCGTCACCCTCAGCATCCCTCGCAGCCTTCCTCCCCGCCAGGGGACCGCTGCCTGTCACTTCCTCCGCGCACCCTTCCTCTCCGCTCACTTCCACGGCAGCCCCCCTTCCAGGGCGCGAACCGCTGTCTGTCATCGTGCTTTTTTCAGCTTGGAGTTTTTTTTCAGAATTTTCAGGAACATATAAATGACTTTATGAAAGTTCGTCTACTTCCAGCGGCGAGAGATAAAGGGAAGTTTTTGAGATGTCTCAAAACTCTTTTTTTTTTTTTTTTCTTTCTTTCTTTTTTGCTGGAAGTCACAGCATTACATCAATGACTTCAGAAAGTGCTGTCAGCTGCCAGCAGTGAGGTGTCACAAACGAGTCAACGCACCTACCAACTCTCCTGAACCAATATCTTTAGACCAGAAGCGGAAACC